CAGCCATTTTCATACACTAAATAATGCAAAACTTTGTAAATATTTGTTCAAACATAAACACTATAGATTGAAAAGGCAGCTGGAAATTTTCAGATGTATAAATTGTACTTGGAAGATTTTGCACCAAAATTACAAAGGTATCTGTCTATAGTACAGCTGGATTCTTTGAACAAAATTATGTACAGATGTCCTATTAAAGTTATTCAATACTTAACATTAACTGCTACAAATTGTACAAGTTTGTAAACAGATCAAAATTTCCTCAGACAAAGGGAATTAGGATAAACCAGGAATCTAATTTAAGATTCCATTGCAAATATGAAATAAGGGATCAAATGAGAATTTTCTTCTCCCTGCAAAGCAACATGGATATCTGCTGTAAAAGCAGTGAAACTCAGAAATCAATTACATATAATAAAAATATTTCCATTTGATAAAGCATCTTTTCACATTATTGAAACTTCAAGGGCTTCACAGGATTTTACTGTAAAGCAAATGACTATTTTAGGCAAATGCAGCAGTAATTTTCACACAGCAATATTCCAGTCAGCCATTAAGAGATACACCAATTTTATCTGCACCAGGACACAATAACCTATTTTTAAATAGTGCCACAACATACAGTATCCTTAACATACATCTCAAGAGCCACCTTCAATTTCAATTCTCAATTCATTCAATTTCAATTCTCATCAGAAGGTGCTACTTCTAACAATGTATATTCTAACAATGTAATCCAGCACTGGAGTGGATTGTCAGCCTGGACAAGTTCAGGCGATGGCCTTAAACCCACATCCTTCAGATTCAGGCAAGAATGCTACCAAACAAACAAGCCAATACCAAAAGGAACACAATTTGCAAATTCAGATTAAATCGGTTGTGCAGGTTTAGATCCATGAGCTGAGCTTGTTTTGGATAGATCACAGCTTGGAAAAGGTCACATGAAACATCGCAGCTGAGGTAAGACTTAGCTGCATTAGATTTAGATCCAAAAACGAAGAGGCAGTTGAAACATCAAGATCTTGTGTGCATCCCATGTATGCTCGCGCCCCTCCTCAAAAAAAACAACCGTGTTCCCTCTAATCTCTCACACTACCATCCCATTTCCAACCCTTCCTTGCCAGTCATGGAACCCATTGTTGCAGGTCAACTTCGGTCATACCTCTCCCTCCACTCCCTCCTCGAGCCCTTGCAATCTGGTTTTCGCCCTGCCCACAGCAGAGACAGCGCTGGTCAGTCACAAACATCCTCTATTTGTGACCAGCACTCCCTCTGCCTCCTCGTCCTCCTGGATCTCTTTGTAGCGTTTGACAGTTGACCGGGCCATCCTCCTCTCCGCCACTTCTGAAAACCTGCTGCATGCGTTTGTCACATTACTTCACTCACTATTGGTTAACAAGCCTGCAATTCTGTCATGGTAATTGAAAGTCAGATGTTTTGTGTATAAATTACTTATTTATTTTTAAATACATACAAAGCAGCATGTAACTCACAAACATTTGAGCACAGCTTTTCAAAACAAAGCAAATTATTATAGCTTATTGAAAGAACCGACCAAAAACATTAATCACCTCTTGCTAATTTGAAAAAGGATTTTGCCTGATATAGTTGAGCTCCTAAATGTCAAGTACTTTTGAGCTTTTTAAGCATGGTTTAATATTTTCTTCTCAAGGGTGACATAATTCTGCCCAAACAATCCTATAGCATAAGAACCTAAGAATCTGATAGGCGAAGGAAGACCAAGTTCCATCTAGTTCGTCTTCCACCATCCTGGCAGTTGCTTGTCGTGTCCCAAACTATACACTATCCCAAGATATTATTTTCTAGCAGAAATCTAATTTTTTCTTGAAACAAATTACATTTTCTGCTTTCACTGTCTCCCAAGAGAGCCTATTCCATACATTCATAACTCTCATTGAAGTAGTGCTTCCGCAGATTTGTTCTGAATTTACCCCCCCCTTCAGATGTAGGCTGTGTCAATGCACTTGTACTTGTAATTACTGAGACAATACCACATAAACCAATTGGTCACAGTTGGCTCATGTCAGATATCATTGACATCCTATTTTTTCCAAGAAAGTTCAAAGTAAGCAATAAAATTAAAGCCCGTTCATCTACATGAATATCTTCCGTCAGAATACTCATACAGATTAAGCAAATGAGCTGTGCAGATAATAGCATTTTCTACTCTTGAATTTCCTTGAAATAGTGCCAAGGCAGTCACTAGTTCTTCAGATGATGATCTCCAGCAAATCAGTCCAATATTCTTCAGATTGTACTCAAGATCATGGTCAGGTGACTCACAGCGTGAAGATGAATATTTGCTTAGACAAAGATCTTAAATTCAGCAGCTCAGTCCAGTAAAACAGATCAATATCCATTGCTTTTTGCAGCCATCATCTTCTAGATTTTTCCCCACTTTTATACGAGTCAGTGGATTCAAAATTAGTACCTGAAGAAATGTAAAATATCATCTGCGGCCTATATATTTAATATGGCTTTGGAGGTTTCTCTTTTAAGAAACTCGTTTTTAAATTCAGAAACGATTAGCAATGAAAATGGCAATGTTATGAAATTATAAACTTCCAGAGGGAAATGCTGTCTCACTTCATATGTATAAAGTTCCTCTGCTAAGCTTATTGCAACAACCATTATTGTAAGCTAACCAATTGGAAATATTTACTGTGAATTCAGCTATTGCCTGCAAACATGCAAGCCAAGAAGCCAAGCATGGACAGTCAACGTGCATATAGCACGATGTTAGAAGCTGATGAACACAGGCACCACCTGTCACATGCAGCGTACGTGCAATGCAACCTCAGTGTTTACCTCATACAAGAGGTGGTATAAAAGTGGAAACCCGTTTCTTCCCAGTACGTTTTATTTTTCAGTTCTGCTATTTCAGTGCTGATAGTGTGATATTACGCCTAATAATAATCCCTCCAAAAAAAAACAATAATAAATTGGCCATTTTCAATCTACGACTGTTTGTGGGACATTGCTGTGCGCAATTGGCTGCCGCGTTCGCCCACAAATATACAGTCAATTCACTTTATAGTATATTCTGTGAAGCGCTTTGAGACGTCTAGAAGACGTGAAAAGCGCTATATCAAATTATTATTATTATGTGACTACCATGTTGTAGCAGGTGCATGCATGTTGGAATCTGATCCCATCATGCAAGCTACCATTACATTTCAAACATTTCCATGTCTCACAGATTATGCATAACCCCAAATAACCCTTGCAGTTCATATAGCGCCTAAAAACAGTATCTCAAAACACTCGGGCTAACACAGCCCAATTTGTGACCAATTAGGTACCACACAGTGAATAACCAAATAACTGGAGGATGTTGGACAGGCCACCTGGAAAAAGCTTTTTTTCAAATAGTCACAGAATCTGTAACATCCACCTGAACACTTTCTAACAATAATGCTAACGCCCCTCAGTGCTGTAGTGGAGCATCAGACTATACTATACTTGTAATGTAGGGCTTGATCTAAGAATCTTTTGACCCAGAGACTAGAGTGCTCCCAATTGAATGAAGACAATTTTACCACAAAGAAATGATACTAAGAATAACTAAATGTTATTTTAACTTAATTCTGAGCTGAATCAATGATTGTATTTGGAAAACTATCTAGTAGTCTACACAAATTGATCCTGTGTAGACATGACTCATTGCACCAGGGCCCTAAGACTGCAGTTCTTTCATGGTTTCTTTCCTCCTACAATATAAACCTTTAAAACCCAAACTCAGCAATAACCCACCAAAAGTTCTCAATTCATCTCTTCTATTCATTTTAGTTTCTAGCACTAAAGCACAAAATATACAGTCAATTCATTTCACAGTAAATTCTATGAAATGCTTTGAGACGTCTCAAAGATGTGATAAGGCGCTATATCAAATGCAAGGATATTATTATTATAAAGCATTCCACCTATTTTTTTGAAAGTACAATTATCATCCTATGTCTAGTGAAGATTCCGAATCATTCCAGCTTTCCTAAATGGCATTCTTTATGGATACCACAGATGTAATGGAACCATGGTAAAGAACACCTATCACAGGTTTATAGCACAACTGGGGTGCAACCAAAATCTATAATACATCACATCTACAATACATGTGGCTGATACATCACTTCAAAACGGCAGCCAGCAACCATCAAACCAAATTGCCAAATACAGAGGTAACTGGGTCATAGATTTTTAAATCCGTAATCAATAGTAATATAACTTGCAAGGCTTAATACCAGCATATAAAGGTTGACCAAAATAGAACATACTTATTTAATATTAGTTCATTTATTGGGTAATTTTCAATAAAGGTCTTAGATGACCACAATTCAAATATCCAGACATGTGGCATAAGTCCAAGATCCCCAGGAACATCCAGAGAATGGAGTGAATGCCCTCCATATTTATTCCTATATCCTTCTCATTTTACCATCAATGAATGAATGGTTCAGCTACGATAAAATATAGGAAAAAGATTCCAAATCATAATGTTTCTGGTACACAAAGCATAATATGTTTAAACATGGTCACAATCACTAGGAAAAAAGGAGTAAGACATGACAATTCGAAGATGTGAAATCACCTTTCCACCTTTAACAATTTGCACTTTAAAAGTCCAGGCAAGCGTTAAAATATCTGAGAAATACCCATCAATTTAATTTTGACGGGGGAAGTGCTGCAAAACAGGTCACTTTAGACATATGCGTCCTATACAACACTTGTGTTGCAACAACAAAACTACATTTGTATGGCGGGTTTCACGTCGGCGGTAAATGTGGAAATTAAATCCCAGTTAATATTTTCCAATCCAATTTACATATCACATCAAATTCAGAAGAAACAATCAATTTTTAAGTTCTGTGCATGTGCCACCAGTTTTTAGATATGAAAACATAACTTATTGAACATTCCTGGGGAGTAAGGCAAATTCCAGTTCTGAATCCAGCTCAATGTAAAGTCAAGAAACAGAGCACAAGCACATTTGTGGTAATCCATCCCATTTATTGTAAACAGTAGTAATTTAACATTTGCAAAACTGGACAGGTGGATCAATAGGTTCCTTTCTATTTTATAAATGTGTAGAATACAATACAAATTTACATAGCACCTTTCATGTTGGGAGGATGTCCCAAGGCACTCGACAGTCCTGGCTGGCACCCAAGCTGGAGTGGGAGTCGGGGGGGGAGGGAAGAGAGAGATGACTGAAGGTTTGGTCAAAGAGGAAGGTTTTGACTGACTTTTCAAGAGGTGAGCGTGGGAGTCGGGAGGGATTCCGGTATGGAGTTCCAGACTAGGGAGTGAGATAGGCTGAGAGCCCGACTGCCAACGTTCGGGTAGCGAGCATGAAGCAAGCTGGTGCCCACTGAATGAATGGGTTGGTACAGTCTGAGGTACGGTGGGGCAAGACTGTAGAGGAATTTGAAGAAAGGGATTTTGAACTCGAATATATTTTCATACCATCTTCCTGCAACTGTTTTCCATAAACTTGCATTTACTTGTTCCTGGTCTACTTTATTCACCTCCTGCAAGAACAGGGAACCAATTATAATAGCACTGTAATACTCGAGGGGACATGAATAGCAGAGTTTTCTATGCTTATTTTCATTTTATCTTCACCAGTTTTCTTTTGGTCACATTGCTTTGAAACGCATTAAAGTACAATGAAATTGAATGTGATCCCGACAGGATCCAAAGCACCGACATGATCTTTTACTCTGGGTTTTTGATAGAATCTGCTCTACCGTGTTGGCCACTTAAGACATGGTTTATCTTAGATGGGCAAAGCTGGAAAGGGCATTGAAAATGGACACTTAAATAATTCATACCTCATATTGGTCTCAAAAGTTTCAAGACACGGCATTATGGCAGCTCTTTGCTACTCCATCTGATGTGTTTGAGTACCTGTACGAAGAAAAGGAAATTAGTTCAACCCCCCAAAAAAGTTAATATGCTTCTCAAATTCCAGTTGTTTCATCTGCATTCAGTTCAGTTTCTTGCCCCCTATCCATGCCAGCCTTTCACTTACAGAAGCCCTTAAACTAACGGTAATAAAAATAGAGAAACCATAATCTGCATTGAGGATAAGGAAGTGATTCAAAAGATGCGGAACCATTGCTGTTGTGGTTATACATGTGACTTTTTACCTTGGGTTTTAGAAAAAAATCTGCCATGTCTTTTCTGTTGGCCACTTCAGAACAGTTTAGAATAGAATAGATTACCTTTCGCAGTAACCAAAAAATTCTTCCATAACATTATAACTAGAGTATCACACTGCCCGTCTCACCAACTTTGTAAGATTTTCATTTTCTCTCCCTGTTTTCTTCATCTCTCCCCATCTCTTACCACTAACTGATTACTCCTACACTGATTACTAAGTATCACTGATAAATCATGTTCCAAATAAAATCATGATCATAACTACATTTCTTTGCTTGTATTGCAACACACCCTAAGCTCAAACTTTCACATGGAAGGTAAATAGTAAACATGCAAATACAATAAGCTCCTGATAACTCATCACTTCAAGGGAAAGGGGGCTTAGTGATGTTATCAGGAGGACGGGTTAGGCATATATATAAATAACTAAATAAATAAGGCTGTGATATTGACAGCACAACACAAGTGGTCAAGTTTTCAGGAGTTTACCGTAGACAGGGTGCAGAAATAGAAAATCATTATGTAGATACAACTCCAAATTAGAATCCATTGTAAACATTGTAAGGTGACACAGAGGATAGTCACAACATATAACATCCTTGAAAGGCTTTCAAACATGTCAATTAGTCAGTTAATTCTACATTGGTACACTGAATTTCTCATTCATTTGATGTTGCAGCAATAGTAAAGCTACCAACGCAATTAATTTCAACAAGAGAAAACACCATTGTTCCTCTCGACAGGATCCAAAGCATAGACATGATCTTTTGCTTTGGGTTTTAGAGAGAATCTGCTCTACCCTTTTGTGTTGGCCACTTAAGACATGGTTCATCTTAGATGGGCAAAGCTGGAAAGGGCATGGAAAATGGACAGTTAAATTCATACCTCATATTGATCTCGAAAATTTCAAGACCCGGTATAATGGCAGCTCTTTGTTAGTCCATCTAATGTATTTGACCTCTGTGTGAAGAAAAGCAAATTAGTTCAACCAAAAAAAATCCAGTTAATGTGCTTCTCAAGTTCCAGTTTTTCCATCTGCGTTCAGTTTCTTGCCACCTATCCATGTTAGCCTTTCACTTATAGAAGCCCTTAAACCAACGGTAATAAGAATAGAAACCGTAATCTGCACTGAGGATAAGGAAGTGATTCAAAAGATGTGGGAAGCACTGCTGTGATGGTTGATTCCTTGGGTTATACATGTGACCTTTTAGAACAACTTGCATTTATATAGCGCCCCTCACGCAGGGTGGTGTCCCATAGAACTTGACAGTGCTGGAGCACAACGCCGAGCCGGGGATGGGGGCAGGGTTTACCTTGGGTTTTAAGAGAAAAATCTGAGCCTATCGCTTCTGTTGGCCACTTCAGAGCAGTTTTCTTTGATGGCAAACGGGGCCAACAACAATTTGCATTTATATATTTAACACTGCAGATTTGGTCACCATATAGAATAAATTGTCTGTAGCAGTCACCAAAAAATTCTTGCATAACATTATGACTATATTACCACTGATCTAAGCCATTCTCTCTCTTTCTGTCCAAGTCTCAAATACTTTGTAGAGTTTTCCTCTCGACAGGGTCCAAAGCATATTTGCCTCCTTCAAGATCCTCCGTTTCAAACATGCCTTCAGCCTCCCTCCTACCTCTCTACCTCCCCCCCACCCCAACCCTGCCACCACCAACCCCCCACCGAGTCGGGTCCTGATCCCTGGACTGTTTAGTGGCTTGGGATGTCCTCCTGGTGGGAAAGGCACTTTACAAATTTAATTTTGTTGTTTTCTATTTCCCTCCCTCCGTTTTCTTTATCTCTCCCCCATCTCTTGCCCTACACTGTGCCACTAACTGAGTACTGAATAAACATTTTCACACCACCAGATAAATCATGTTCCAAGTAAAATCATGGTCATAACTTCATTTCTTTGCCGGTACTGCAAGCAAACTATAAAATAGTTCACTTTCACATCAAATAAATAATCATAAATAACAACATGCAAATACAATAAATTCCTGATAACTCGTCACTCCAAGGGAAAGGGTCTTAGTGATTTTATCAGAAGTGGTAGGTTAGGCATATGTATAAATATATAAAGAAATGCGGCCGGGATATTGACAGCATGACAACTCAAGTGGTCGAGTTTTCAGGAGTTTACTGTCGACAGCTTGCAGAAATAGAAAATCATTATATAGACATGACTCCCAATCAGAATCCATTATTATAAATGGTGTAAGGTGATAAAGAGGCTGTGTGCTAGTCACAATATGTAATATCCATGGTTTTATTCTATGGATGTTATATGAAAGCCTACATAAAACTAACCTAGTTTTATGTAGGCTTTCAAACATGTCAATTTGTTAGTCATTTCTGCATTCTATCTACATTGGTACACTGAATTCCTCATTCATTTGTTGTTGCAGCAATTGTAAAGCTACCAAAGCATTCATTTCAAGAAGAGAAAATATCATTGTTCCTCTCGACAGGATCCAAAGCACAAACAATATTTTTGCTTAGGGTTTTAGAGAGAAAACAATCTTCCCCTCTGTGTTGGCCACTTTAAGGCACAGTTAGCCTTAGATGGGCAAAGCTGGAAGGGGACCAAAAGAAAGTTTAATTTACTCGTCGTACCTCATATACTCCAAAGTAACATTTGCTACAGCTTTCCGTTTCCAGGACAGATCAGTTTATTCAATTTCTGTAATAAAAACAAAATCATTGGTTTTTTGCACAAGATTTTAGTACCAACATTTCAAACATTCATTATTATAATATTATTTACATCAGGTTTCACCATCCTTAATTTTAATTTAAGCTATAATTGGCAGGACATGTACATATCCATGAGAAAATGCAAACTCTCACACATGCAATATGAAACCTACAGTTATGATGGTGCTGTGGTGTATTCTTAATGACAAGACATTACATTCAAAGGACGGGTTAATAAAGTATCTTTTCAAGCTTAATTAGTTACCAACGAATACTTTAGAATATATTGTTAATGGTGACAATCAGTTATAAATATGAACAGAAACCCTACCATAACAAATTGAACAGATGTAGAAATTGTACATCTGAAATGTCACCTTCATAAATATTTATTTTAACTAGTTTTATGTAGAAAATGTTTCTCCCGACAGGATCCAAAGCACTGACAAACCTTTTACTTTGGGTTTTTGAGAGAAAATTATTTACCCTTCTGTGTTGGCCACTTAAGACACAGTCGGTCTCAAATGGGCAAAGCTGGAAAGGGATTATTATTCATTAATTATTATTAAGATATGCAGACAGATACTTTAGTTTTAAGAGAAATTGATCACCCATACCTCATGGTCCAGTATTACTTTCAGATTCATTCATTCTGACAATCTTCATCAATGCAAATCAGCTGCATGTGCACCCTACATAAAAATAACATTTTTAACCAAAGAATAGGATACTCGTCACTCCAAGGGAAAGGGTCTTAGTGATTTTATCAGAAGTGGTAGGTTAAGCATATGTATAAATATATAAAGAAATGCGGCCGGGATATTGACAGCATGACAACTCAAGTGGTCGAGTTTTCAGTTTACTGTCGACAGCTTGCAGAAATAGAAAATCATTATATAGACATGACTCCCAATCAGAATCCATTATTATAAATGGTGTAAGGTGATAAAGAGGCTGTGTGCTAGTCATAATATATAATATCCATAGTTTTATTCTATGGATGTTATATGAAAGCCTACATAAAACTAACCTAGTTTTATGTAGGCTTTCAAACATGTCAATTTGTTAGTCATTTCTGCATTCTATCTACATTGGTACACTGAATTCCTCATTCATTTGTTGTTGCAGCAATTGTAAAGCTACCAAAGCATTCATTTCAAGAAGAGAAAATATCATTGTTCCTCTCGACAGGATCCAAAGCACAAACAATATTTTTGCTTAGGGTTTTAGAGAGAAAACAATCTTCCCCTCTGTGTTGGCCACTTTAAGGCACAGTTAGCCTTAGATGGGCAAAGCTGGAAGGGGACCAAAAGAAAGTTTAATTTACTCGTCATACCTCATATACGCCAAAGTAACATTTGCTACAGCTTTCCGTTTCCAGGACAGATCAGTTTATTCAATTTCTGTAATAAAAGCAAAATCATTGTTTTTTTGCACAAGATTTTAGTACCAACATTTCAAACATTTATTATTATAATATTATTTACATCAGGTTTCACCATCCTTAATTGTAATTTAAGCTATAATTGGCAGGACATGTACATATCCATGAGAAAATGCAAACTCTCACACATGCAATATGAAACCTACAGTTATGATGGTTCTGTGGTGTATTCTTAATGACAAGACATTACATTCAAAGGACGGGTTAATAAAGTATCTTTTCAAGCTTAATTAGTTACCAACGAATACTTTAGAATATATTGTTAATGGTGACAATCAGTTATAAATATGAACAGAAACCCTACCATAACAAATTGAACAGATGTAGAAATTGTACATCTGAAATGTCACCTTCATAAATATTTATTTTAACTAGTTTTATGTAGAAAATGTTTCTCCCGACAGGATCCAAAGCACTGACAAACCTTTTACTTTGGGTTTTTGAGAGAAAATTATTTACCCTTCTGTGTTGGCCACTTAAAGACACAGTCGGTCTCAAATGGGCAAAGCTGGAAAGGGATTATTTATTAATTATTATTAAGGTATGCAGACAGATACTTTAGTTTTAAGAGAAATTGATTATCCATACCTCATAGTCCATTATTACTTTCAGATTCATTCATTCTGACAATCTTCATCAATGCAAATCAGCTGCATATGCACCCTACATAAAAATAACATTTTTAACCAAAAAATAGGATACTGCTTGAAACAAAGGAGATCGGGGAGGGCAAACACTTTGAATGACAGGCTATACAGATTAAAACTGCAGCCCATTACCTCAATACATACTCTGAGGATCCTAAGTCTTACTTGTTTCCAACCTGTGTCTAATTCACTCCAGAATTATTAAAGCAGGATGCGCCCCCCCCATTCGGCCCATCGTGTCTGTGCCGGCTCTTTGAAAAGAGTTATCCAATTCAATCCCACTCCCCCGCTCTCCCTATAGCCCCTGCAAACTTGTCCTCCCTAAATAATTATCTACTTCTCTTAAAAGTTGTTACGGAATCGGTTTCCACCACCCTTTCAGGCAATGCATTCCAGATCCGAACTCACTGTGTGAAAAAATTTCTCCTCACCTCCCATTTCTTTTAACAACTATTTTAAATCGGTGCCCTTGGGTTACTTCCACCCGCCAGTGGAAATAGTTTCTCCTTGTTCATCCTATTGAACCCCTCATAATTTTGAAAACTTCTATTAAGTCTCCTCTTAACCTTCTCTGCTCCAAGGAGAATAATCCTAGTTTCTCTAGTCTCTCCTGATAACTGAAGTTCCTCATTCCTGGTAAATTTCCTTTGTACCCTCTCCAATGCCTTGACATCCTTCCCAAAATGTGGGGAGGCCCAGAACTGAACACAGTCTCTAGCTGAGGCCTAACCAGTGTTTTATAAAGGTTTATGATAACTTCCTGACTTTTGTATTCTATGTCCCTATTTATAAAGCCGAGTAGCCTGTATGCTTTTTTAACAGCTTTATCTATCTGTCCTGCCACCTTCAAAGATTTACTTATATAAACCCCAGGTCTCTCTGCCCCTTCAGCCCCTTTAAGATTGTATCTTCAAGCTTATAACGCCTCTCCTAATTCTTCCTTCTGAAACGTATCACTCCACATTAACCGTCATCTGCCACATGTCTGTCCATGTCTTCCCTCCTGTCAGAAAAACAACCATTCACCAGCACTCTCTGCTATCTGTCTCCCAGCCAGTTCTGTAACCAATGCTGCCACTGTCTCTTTAATACCGTGGGCTTTGATTTTGCTCACAAGTCTCTTATGTGGCACTTTATCAAACGCCTTTTAAAAATCCATATAAACTACATCAACTGCACTACCTTCATCCACCTTCTCCGTTACTTCATCAAAAAACTCGTCAGGTTTGTTAGACATGATTTGCCTTTAACAAATCCGTGTTGCCTGTCCTTTAAGCCATATTTTGCTAAGTGAAAATTAATTTTGTCCCACATTATAGTCACTAGAAGTTTCCCCACTAATGACGCTAGGCTGACTGGCCTGTAGTTCCTGGTTTATTCTTCTGCCCCTTTTTGTACAGGGGAGTAACATTTGCAACCCTCCAGTCCTCTGGTACCACCCCGGTGTCCAAGGAGGATTGAAAGATTGTGGCCAGAGCCTTTGCTATTTTCACCTTTACTTCCCTCAGTAACCTAGGATGCATCCAATTCGGACAGGAAGACTGATCTACCTCGAGTACTGACAATCTTATCAGTACCTCCTCTCGGCTTATTCTTATCTTATCCAATTTCTCTACTCTCCTCCGATACAGTATTGGTTGCATCCTCTTGTTTTGTGAAGACAGATGCAAAGTACTCATTCAGTATGTCAGCCATGCCCTCTGCCTCCACAAGAAGATTCCCTCTTTGGCCTCTCATTGAACTCACCCTACCTTTGACAAACCTTTTATTCTTTATATGCTTATAAAATACCTCAGGGTTCCCTTTGATGTTACCCGCTAATCTTTTCTCATACAATCTCTTTGCCCCTCCTTTTTCAGTTCTCCTCTGTACTTTCTATATTCTATTTGATTATTTCCGGTATTTTGGACCTGACATTTATCATAAGCCTCCCTTTTCTGTTTTATTTTAATCCCAATTTCCTTATTCATCCAGGGAGGTTTGGATGCCCTACCTTTGCCCTTTGTGGGAATCTATTTGTTCTGTCCCCGAACTATGACCTCCTTGAAGGCTTCCCATTGCTCATTAGCTGTTTTACCTGCCAATCTTTCTTTCCAGTCCACCTTGGCTCGGTCCCTTTTTAACTCACTAAAATTAGCCCTCTCCCAGTTGAGTATCTTCACCTTTGATTACTCCTTGTCCCTTTCCATAAGTACTCTAAACCTAATGATGTTGTGATCACCGTTGTCCAGGTGCTCTCCTACTGAAACCTGCTCCACTTGCCCTACTTCTTTCCCCAGAACCAGATCCAGCACTGCTTCCCTCCTTGTTGGGTTGGAAACATACTGATCCAGAAAGTTATCCTGCACACATTTCAGGAATCCTTCCTCCTCCTTGCCCTTTACATTGTTATTTTGCCAGGCTATGATAGGATAATTGAAGCCCCCCCATTATCACTACTCTATTGGGTTTTCCATCTTCCTGAAATCTGCTTGCAGATTTGCTTGTCTATCTCCTTCCCGCTATTTGGTAATAACAACTTGGATTTATATAGCAGCCTCCACGCCGGACGGCATCTCAGAGCGCTTCACCGTAACGGATCCCGGGGCCGAGCCAGGGAGAGGGGGAGGAAGATGACCAAAGGTCGAAAAGGAAGGTCTTCAGCAGAGACCTGAAAATAGGAAGAGAGGGGGTGAGGCGAAGGGAGTGAGGAAGGGAGTTCCATAGCCTCTGGGCATAATGGCTGAAGGCACAGCCACCAAGGGTGGAGCGGAGGACTCGAGGGACAAGGAGGAGGCCAGACCCAGAGGAATGAAGGCAACGGGCACTGTTTTGAGGAGGTCAGAGAGACAGGGGGGTGCAGAAAAGTGGAGGGATTTGAATACAAGGGTGAGGATCTTGCAGTTGATCCTCTCTGGGATAGGCAGCCAGTGCAGTCTGGCAAGGGCTGGGGTGATCGGGGAGCGGAGTTTGGTGCGGGTGAGAATGCGGGTGGCAGTTTTGAATAATCTGGATTTTATGGATGGTAGTGGATGGGAGGCCGGCGAGGAGGGCGTTTGAATAGTTTAGCCGAGAGGTGACAAAGGCATGGACCAGGGTTTCAGAGGCTTTCGGAGAGATGTACTGGTGGAGATGGGCGATGCGTCGGAGATGGAAGAAAGCGGCGCTGGTGAGGGACCGGATGTGGGGGAGGAAGGATAATTGGGGGTCGAACCTGACGCCTAGGTTGCGTACAGGTTCGGAGAGTTTTAGGGGGAGATCGGGTAGGTGGAGGTGAGAACCGTGAGATTTGGATGTTGACGAGAGCCAAAGAGTATGGATTTTATAGAAGTACTGAGATGAGAACTTAAGTCTGTTCTGCAATTCTCCCCCATCTAATCCCTCCCTTTTCTGGATTATTACTTATTACATTTCTATTAGTCTCTCCCAAAGGTAGTCTACAGTATACACCTAACAGAGCAACAGCTAGCACTTCGTCCCTTTCCAGGGCCGTAACCATGTCTTTAATCAATATTGCCACCTGCACTCCCTTTTTTCCTTCCCTATCCCTCCTGAATGCATTGTAGCCAGGAATATTCAGCTCCAATTCCTGCTCTTGTTTGAGCCAGGTCTCCGTTATTGGAACATCATCATAACTCCATGTGGCAACTTGAGCCTGCAGCTCACCAATCTTATTCGTCACACCCCATGCATTTACACACATGCACTCCAAGACCAACTTAGTCTGCTCTGCATTTCTCCCCCGTCTAATCCCTCCTTTTTCTGGATTTCTCCTTATTACATTGCTATTTGTCGCTCTCAGCCCTCTATGTAACTTGTTTGTCCTCTCAAATGCTATATCCTGATTCCCTTCCCCACAGCACGAGTTAACCTCCCTGCGAGGACATTGGCCCCAGTCCTGTTCAGGAAAAACCCATCCACCTTGTATAGGTTCCACCTGCCCCAAAACTGTTCCCAATGATTCAAGAACCTGAAGCCCTCTTTTCTGCACCATTTCTCAGGCCATGCATTCATGAGTTTCATCCTACTGTTTTGATACTCACTTGCACGAGGCACTGGGAGTAATCCAGAGATCACCACCTTTCAGGTCCTACTCTTTAGCCTTTTCCCTAGCTTCTGATACTCTCCCTGACGGGATCTCAGCCCTTTTTTTCCGTACGTCAGGGATCCCAACATGGACCATGACTTCTGGATGTTCCCCCTAGTTTTGCACCCATTCCATGATGTCTTCAACCCTGGCACCAGGGAGGCAACATACCATGCAAGAGTCATGTCTATGGTTGCAGAAACACCTGTCTACTCCTTTCACCATTATGTCCCCAATGACAATTGCATTTGACTCCCCTTCCCAGAGGTGTCATCGCCCTGACCGGTATTCAGTACAGAGATCCGGTTTGTGAGTGCCACACTCTCAGGGAATTTCTGTACTGCCCGTTCCCCCCTTCCAACCATGCCGGGTGGTCACCCACTCATTCTCCTTCTGAACCCTCTTTGGCTGTGGGGTGACCACCTCCTTAAACATTCGATGACCTATGTGCATTCTGATTTCAAACCCTGGAATTTCCACAAGTATTCCGTGGGGGAGAAGAGGGGTTGTAGAAAGACATGATAGAAATGAGTAAGTGTAGGTGACCTCATTACAGCAAGTTTTTATTTTACATCACAGCTGAGATTCTATTTTTCTATCCAGTACCCAATTCATCCTGTTACAGAACGGCAAGCCAATAATTCACCCTCTTACAGCAAATTCAAGCCATTCCTCTCAGATACAGGACATGTAGAATTACAAACCCGCTTTTCATTTCAACTGCCCAGAACCTCATGCTTCCATGCGGATGAAATGGGAGAAAGGAACGTGAAAACGATGCTAACTCTCCTATGTGCCATTATCATTCAATGTCATAGGTGACCTTTAAAATTATTCCACCTACAGATGCTACGCGGCCATAGAATAGTGAAGGGTACAAATTTGGCAAAGCAGATTAATTATGGATCAGTCTATGACCTCCTTTCATTTTATTGAGCGTGGTACTGTACATACATAGAGACAAGATATTCAAATAAAGGGTGGAATGGGGCAAATCTTACGAGAAAACGTCAGTGAAATGTAAACTGACCAAGAAACTACTGTTGTGAGAATAATCACATTGTAACTGAGGAACGGCAGCGGTGAGGAAGGAAGGAAGGGTCGGCTCAGACACCGCATGAGCACAGACTCTGTTGGTGCGGATGGAGCCACTCCCTCCTGAACCGGCAGAAGGGAACACCTCGAGCTCAGCCACGTGGTGGCCGAGAGAGGCCCGGGATCAGGCCCGGCACCGCCCACAGCTGTGACCTGCCCTCCTGCCCCTCACCATGCCCAGGGCACGGACCCCCGCCGGGACAGGCAGCAAAGCGGGTGGTCACTACACTGAGGACTGTTGTGTGTGAGTGTGTGAGGGAGACCAGGCCTCATGTCGCTCAGCCGGTCTCACAAGCCCTCCCTGTGGGGGGGGGGGGGGGGTAGGAACGAGCTCACACAGCGGCGGTCGCATTGCAATGTCTGCACAGTTTGTGCCGTATGTTTTTTCAGTTTAATATCGACTGCTTTGGTTTAAAAATAACGCGAACTGTGAGAGCGCGCGCTCCACTCACCCGACACCGGCCGCCATCTTACTGCAAGAGGGCCGCTCCAGCCCCGCGCAGACTCACACCCGCCAGAGCGACGCAAGGGGGCGGGGCACTGGCTGTGGGGGGCGGGGCGGTGGGCGGGGCACTGGCTGTGGGGGCGGGGACTCTGGCTGTGGGGGGCGGGGCGGTGGGCGGGGCACTGGCTGTGGGGGGCGGGGACTCTGGCTGTGGGGGGCGGGGCGGTGGGCGGGGCACTGGCTGTGGGGGGCGGGGACACTGGCTGTGGGGGGCGGGGACTCTGGCTGTGGGTGGGCGGGGCGGTGGGCGGGGCACTGGCTGTGGGGGGCGGGGACTCTGGCTGTGGGGGGCGGGGCGGTGGGCGGGGCACTGGCTGTGGGGGGCGGGGCGGTGGGCGGGGCACTGGCTGTGGGGGCGGGGACAGTGGCTGTGGGAGGCGGGGCGGTGGGCGGGGCACTGGCTGTGGGGGGCGGGGCACTGGCTGTGGGGGGCGGGGACAGTGGCTGATGGTTATATGCCTCACCACGACTTCGAGACGTCTCACAGAGCTTATAATAATAATAATAATCCTTGCATTTTGATATAGCGCTTTTCACGTCGGGAGGACGTCCCGAAGCGCTTCACAGAATATGCTGTAAAGTGAATTGACTGTATATTTGTGGGCGAACGCGGCAGCCAATTGCGCACAGCAATGTCCCACAAACAGTCGTAGATTGAAAATGACCAATTTATTATTGTTTTTGGTTTTGGAGGGATTATTATTAGGCTCTGTGTGGAGTAAGGAAACTTGCCCAAGGTTTCTCCCTCTGCCTGGAATTGAACTCAGGTCTCTCGCTTGCAAAGCGAGTGCTCTAACCACTGAGCTACAGGACTCCGCATACACTGTAAATACACTGTAAAGTGAATTGACTATATTTTGTGGTTGCCTGTGACATGGACAGAGGGTCCTTGTGGGGACTGACTGCAGTCTGACACTTATAACGGAACGATGTGACTCCAGCGAGAACGCCTGCCATTGTGTGTCAAAAGCACCGTTACTCTATGTTTCATGTCTTCCAGACGTCTCAAAGCGCTTCACAGAATATGCTGAATTGACTGTATATTTGTGGGCGAAACGCAGCAGCCAATTGCGCACAGCAGTATCCTTTTCCTTTTCATATAGCAACTCAAACCACTTTGCAGGATTGGGTCTTTTTTTACCGTGAAGTGGATTGACTGTATTTGTGGACAAACTCTGCAGCCGATTTGCACTAAGCAATGACCCACAAACAGCCATTAAGTGAATGATCTATTTTGGCGTTTTGTTGACCAGAACACCAGGAGAAATTCCCTTCTCTTTTAAAATAGTGCCATGAGATTTTCAACCCGCGCCTGAACAGATAGACAAAACCTTGGTTTAATGTCTCATCTGAAGGACGGCACCTCTAACAATACAGGATACCTACAGCATTGTATTGGTGCTCCCACATACTATCCTGTGTTAAGGGAACTACATAAATGGGGGTAAGTTGTTGTTGCTGTCATGTCAGTCTAGGTTGTGAGTTCAAAATCCCGATGTAGAACTTAAACCCACAACTTTCTGACTCAGACGTGAGAGTACTATCAACTGAGCCAGACTGACACAGATTCTGCAAGGATGAGATCCAATACAAATTTACATTCATATACATTACATGTTGGGAGAACATTGCAAGGAGATCAAATGTACTGAGAGTATTCTTCTTCATCAGAATCTCAATTGTGTTCTCTTGTGAACGTTGAGTACAGTGAAACTCACATAAGTCGTGTCATAACATTTAATATTACTTATGCAAATCCAAGTTGTAGGTAAACTGCATAAATCATATAAAATACGATTTAATCAATAATCTACACTGTCACATGCGAAATTCAACGCAGCAGGTAAGTGCGCATTCAGACTTCATCAATGCAGCCAGTAAGTGCGCATTCAGTGATGGGTCAAGATTCCCCATGATTCAATATGTCTTTATCTGTCATTGCATGCTAGCACTGAGCCAGGCTGACGCACATATAAATGCAAGATGTTGATTTTGCTAAGTGCAAATTGGCTCCAACGTTTCTACAGAAATGCAATCACTATAATGTACAGCATATCCTTTGATGTGCTTTGAGATGACTTTGTGACATGATAAGCACTATCAAATGCAAGTATTGTTAATTAGAATAATAATAATTGAAGCCTTCAAACAGCTCTGGTCAAAGTCTGATCATTTCAAGCAATTCACCTTGAAGGTTCAATCTTCCCAACAGGTCGCAAGAATCCTAAAAATGCAGCCTCAGAGTTCATTCAAATATGTATGTCACCAGCTTGTGACTATATTCAGATCCCTTGGGTTTCAATTTTGTAACAACCTGAAGGTCTGGGATACCGCTGGAAGCTGGAATGTACATGTTCCAGATAAATGGCTGCACGGTTCAGAACTCATGAATGTAGTCTATCAATTGTTCAGCTCAATACTCTGGTTAATTTTTAATCTTTAGTCTTCCAATCTTAATGATTTACCACACTGTTTCTGCTCCTCTCTTTGGATTCTTTCAGATGGATTAAATTGACCTGCATTCTGGTTTTTGTTCTGCATTCTGTTTGGGTCAGTTATCTGTCTCTCTTGTCGCTCATTCTGTTTCGGCTCCTCTGTTACCCTCTTTCTTTCCTCTACAGATTATTTATGCTTATTTCTCTTTTTTATATTTTTTCTTTTGATCTGATTATCTCCTGGTCTCCTTTCTGATCTTGTTTATTTGTTGTCTCATTCTCAGTGCACTTGATCAAGTCTGTGGCTGGTTTTCCTGTGGGAAGGGCTGACCTTGATAATTTCTCCTTTCAATGTGAAGTGCTTTGCTGCAGTGAAATCGACACAGTGGGATGCAAAACGCAATATTCATAAATAGAGACTCCGAGTCGAAAAGACTGACTCTGAGTCGCAAAACTGACTTCAATTGAACCAGAAATGTGTCATGTTGTCCTGTGGGAACTCCACTCTGGAAACAAAATGTGTCAGAACAGAGGTCATATGATTTAGCTTGATGCATGCATTTCTGGATTAGCAGCAGGAACTGCTATTTAAATCATAGTAACCCTTGCATTTGATATAGTGCCTTATGTCTTCGAAATGTCAAAGCACCTCACAGCACTCCACAATGTCCCACAAACATCCATGAAGTGAGTGATCGATTTTATTTGGGGAGGATTTACAACCTTGTTAACAAGTATCACATTTTGGACCTGTTAACACCAGTAACATTCCATACCTTAATGGGCCAGGTTGAGGACCCGTAAAAATAGTCAGATCCCATTAAAACTGGTGGTTTTAGATTCATAAAATCAGATGGCATGTTATAATGGGGCTAGCTAAAACAATGGCCACTATGGTCAGCGCCATGCACAAAATGACAACTGCTTTCATGAGCTTTTGCAGGGACACAGCAAGACACCAGAGGTTCTGCATTTGCACACAATGTGCACACCCATGCAGTCAGAACCAGAACACCCAAGGTATAAACAGATTTGCACTACACCAGGCTGTGTTACAATGGAGTCCAACTTCATTATTCGCTTTTCCCTTCCTTTATTTTAATAGTGAGCAAACTACAAAACAAATGTCTCTCCCTTCGTACACTGACACACATCACAGATTAAAAGCAGGCAAGTAAAATGACATCATCAACTTGATGGTAAAATAATAACTATGTATATTTTTACCATTTTTAAACTATTTTAAATCATTTCATTTTAGGATCTTTATAATAAAAAGAACAATCTGAACTACTGAGTGAAAAAGAAAATTTGGGAATAATAATAATTTGACACTGTGCCCCCCCCCCCAAAAAAGTGAAATAATTCAATTTTTTTGTGTCAGGACAAACTCTTGAGACATGTGACCATCGAGATTGCTCAATTAGCAACAACCCAATAACATGACATTTCTTACTTTCCATTTACAGTAAAGGGCAAAATTCTTTGCCCATACTTCTAAGAAAGAACAAGTTAGAAGTACCCTGCTTCAATTGATCACTAATAGGGACATCATCAACAAAAAACATGAATTGACAATTGAAATTAATATAAATACAAACAAAATAAAATAATAATGATAATCCTTGCATTTGATATAGCGTCTTATCAGGTCTTCTAGACGTCTCAAAGCGCTTCACAGAATATACTGTAAAGCAAATTGATTGTATATTTTTAGGCGAAACACGGCAGCCAATTGTGCACATCAGCATCCCATAAACAGTCGTGGATCGAAGGAACCAAATTTTTTGTTTTAAGGAATTATTACAACAACAACAACAAGATTCCATTTATTGAGCGCCTTTCACGTCGGGAGGACGTCCCAAGGCGCTGTACAGTTGGGTCAGGACCCGAGCAAGGGGGGAAATGGTCAGGGTGAGGGGAGGGAAGGGAGGGAGCGAGGAGGGGGTAGAGAGTCGAGAGGGGAGCTGAAGGCACGGTCAAAGAGAAAGGTCTTGAGACCGGCCTTGAAGGAGGAAAGGGAGGAGGCGGCGAAGGCACTGGGGGATAGAGTTCCAGAGTCTCAGGGCTGAGAGGCTGAAGGCTCGGCCACCGATGGTAGGGTGGTTGGGGCGGGGGATGTGGAGCAGACCGGAGCCAGAGGAACGGAGGGTACGGGCGGGTAGGTAGGGGGATAGTAGGTTGGAGAGGTAGGAGGGAGCGAGGCTGTGAATGGCCTTGTAGGTGAGGGTGAGGATCTTGAATTCGATCCTCTGGGGGATGGGGAGCCAGTGGAGGCGAGCGAGGGTGGGAGTGATGTGGTTGCGAAGCCTGGTGCGGGACAGTACACGAGCTGCAGAGTTCTGAATGACCTGCAGCTTGTGGAGGGAGGTGGCGGGAAGGCCGGCGAGGAGAGAGTTCCCATAGTCCAGCCTTGAGGTGATAAAGGCGTGGACCAGAGTTTCAGCAGCGTGAGGGGTGAGGTAGTGCCGTAATCTGGCAATGTTCCGGAGGTGATGGAAGGCGGTGCCAGTTGTGGCGCGGATATGAGGGAGAAAGGACAGCTCAGGGTCGAACAAAACGCCGAGGTTCCTGAC